GGAACAACGGTTTTTATAATTAAAAGTGCGTCCTTAATTAAATTTAATTAACGGCTCCGGATGATGACTTGGAGATGACTGGATGGCGCTGAAAATTGGCACGGACCTTCTTTTTTTGTGCAAAAGATCTCGCATCACTGAATTTAATTGGATAGTTTTTGCGCCCGACCATTTTGGCAACTTCTTTTTAAAATTCGCTTAAAAAAAAAACCATTGCAGTTTATTTATTTTCTAACCCGAGAAGAGAGCAGTGACGCGCGTGCAAAATTTTGGCACGTCGCAATCGCTTGCCGGTGGGATTTTTCGCGCGCACGTCGACATCGCGTCGCCGAAGATGCCCTCGAAACGAAGCAGAAGGAAAAAAATTCTGATAAATTTTTCTTCTTTTCATAAAAGAACCGTCTCGAAGCATCTCCGCTTCGTGACGAAAACGAGAGAAAGAGGCCCGCGATTAGGATCCCCACCGGACTGGAACGAATCGGGCAAGCGTGACGCCGGCCGTCGAGTCCGTCCACCGTCGAGTCCGTCCGCCGTCGAGTCCGCCCTCCGCCGGGCCCGCCCTCCGTCGGACGGATTACAGTGCTTGGACGCCGTGATTTCTTCTCGGCGATGCCCGCGGGGATCCGGAAAGGCGAAAGGTCGGCGACTCGGCAGGCCCGTGATTGCACTGTTGCAATTCGACAGGCGATGTGTCCGGTTTTCTCGGGAGGAATGGAGTCGCCGATGTCGCCACCGATGGTGCTCGAAGCCGTCGTTATGCATCACGATACATGACATAATAATTATAGAATTATGTCGATATCATGAACAGTTATTATGTTATTATCGTATACGAGGGCCAGTCGAAAAGTTTCTATATGAGATGTTTTAATCTGGAAAAACCTGTCAAAAGCCCAATTCATAGTGCACAGGGGAGGAGGGCATCCTACTGTTTTGTTTGGGCGATGCCATCGGTCGAAAACGACCATGTGACTTTGAGGTCCGGAGAGCGGCTGCTTCAGGACGACGATGCTCTGGCCCGCAGATCCGCCATTGTGGTAACCTGTTGCACCGAGTGCGACTTTTTTTTTTTCTCATCCGTGAGTTTCAGCTGCCGAAGTGTCTGCAACCCCGTTTCGGGTTTTCCCAGAACAAAACTTCATATTTTTGACCGGTCCTCGTACATGCTGGGAAAATTTAAGCCGAGGTCCGGAACGTTTACGGGGACGAGCACGTGCAAGGGAGGCACGTGCGTGCACCGTGCAGGTGTTCGTGCACCATCGAATGCAAGAGCGGGGGAAAAAAACGGGAAGAACATAACGTTTTATGCCGTCTTTTTCTTCCTCGTCTCACTTTTCAAAGTTCGGTGCACCTGCAGCGCATTCTCCCCCGGCACTCCACCTCATTTTTTTTTTTAATATACACACGGGGGATCCCCCGGAGTCATCGCGTCCTGTGAGATCGCTATGCAGAGCCATAGGGAGTTCGTATCGTAGGGAGCCATAGGAGTTCGTATCTTAGGGAGGCATATGGAGTTAGTGTCGGGGAACGTCCGTCGGGTTCACATGCCGGATGAGGGGAGGGTGGGATCCGTCACGGTTCTGTCTACGGTTTAATCCGATCCGCCCCCCCCCCCCCCCCACTCAATCGTCTCGGGGTTGCTTCGATGCGATGAAACTGGATCTGCGAGGGCACGAGTCACGTCTCGGAGGCTTTTTTTCTTCTCGGGGGCCGGCTCGGGGCTCGGGTCGTTTATCGTCGGGGAGTGTGAGACCGGTTTTCGTGGTGTGGCGTGCTTCGATGCGGCTTCGGGGCGATTTTTTTCCTGCTGCTTTTCGGTAGTTTCAAGAAGTCAGCTGCTTAATTGCGGTGATTTGGGGGTTTCACTCCAGCGGCGTTCACGTGATGAATATTCTGCTTTAGTGGGCAGAAGTTTCTGCTCGCTGAAGAACTCGGAAGACATTAATAAGAATCACGGGTGCAATACACGTCAAGGCTTGGGAAAGACTTGGAAATAATAAAAGATATCGAATGGCTTCCCAAGTCCAAATACCAAGGTACTTCCTTTGCAAGTACCGACGAGACACTTAGGTAGGGATATTTAATTTATTCCCCTATTTGAATGCAATCTTAAATTCGTCTGTATTCCACCAAGACTGTCGATTTCAAAACCCTCGAAACTTGCATGCGAACTTCCATTTTTTCACTCTTTGATGACATACTCATGAAAATGTTCTTAAAAATGAACAAGACAGGATATGCCAAGACAGACTTTATTGGCAGCGTATGGCTTTTCCCACGATGAGCACATATATTCACAAGGGTAAACTGATACCTAAAAAAAAGTGGAAAACAAAATCGGTATCAGCATTTATGCTGACATCAAGCACATGTACATCAATATCACAAATTTACAAGCGTAATCATTGCACATCACCATGATTTCATCTTTTCATTTGCATTCTTGCAAATCCACAAGTCTCTAGAGTGCAACAGCAAACTTCCTGCTATGCAGCAATAACTAGTGAAACAAAAGGCTATGGATACAAGGGAGAAGTGCAACACAGGTGACACAAGTAGATGAACCTCTCATGCCCTCTCTACCCTTCTCCCATTTTGAACAGCAGGCCAACTTCTCTCGCCAAATGTATCTTGCAATCAAATCATTATGCAAACATGAAATTTCAAGACATATTGAGGAAAACTGGGTTACATAAGATCACATATATACAAGCGTAATGGTTCCATGTGGTACACCTACTTAATACCCAGCATGAAGCCAGCAAAAACACTGCAAACAGCTTCTTGAAAATGCTGATGCAATAAACAAATAAATTGAGTTTATGAAATTTACCCTTGGATGGACATGATGGGCACCTCAAGAAGTACACCTACACAAATTCTGGAAATAAGGTGAAAATCAGAAAACACCAAACCAGAGTACAGGTGGAATTCAGGGACATACAGTACATCTATTACTTGATAAAGATGGATTCATGGTAAATCCTCAAGCTATGAACAAAAGAAAAAGAGAGAAGAAAAAAAAGAAGAGCACAGAGTTTATAATATCCCTAATAATTACAAAATCTCAATGCACAGCAAGTGAAGCAAGTACCATGACTGAAAGCTGCATCAGCAAATAATGGCTACATATACAGCAAGAAAGCATAAATGTGAAAATCAGACTCAAAAAGCCAGGGGAGTCTCATGGTGATTGGGTGGGTAGAAGTACTCCTGATTCATGTTGCATACGTGCCCTGGATCCTGATGAAGACATCCCAAGTCACCATAACACAAATAATCTGTTTCCAGCTGTAATTGCAAAGGATTTTGGTATGTTGCAAGTGTCAGAATATGATGTGTTTGGCATCAAAAGAGGAAATTAGTACAACAAACCTCTGCTCCTTTCTCGACGAGGGCATCCAGAAAACGACCGAGCCCAGTGCGCAGGCGGAATTCCATCTCGATCTTGTTGCACTCCTTCCTGCCGAAGAGAACCACCAGGATGGCCTCGTACGTGCTGTCCCGGTTCCATGGGATGCGATTCTCTCTCATCAAGTCTCGCACATAGAAGAGCATCTTTTCGATCTCATCTTCATCTCCTGAAAATGAATTGCACTGAGTTAAATTGCAGTTCACAGTCTCAAGCATTTTGAAACTTAAACAAGAGTGGTTTCGTGCATACTGGGAACTCGTTCTTCATTCAGAGGGAGATTGACGTCCAGACCCAGGTGATCCATGCGCTTCTTTTGGATCTTCTTGGCATTTCGCTCATTGTTGGCACGCACCCGCTCGCACTCCTCTCCGAGGCAGAAGTAGTTTTCGCATTCCGGCATGTGTCCTGCTTTGAGACGGGTCTCTCCATGATTCCGACACAGGGGACAGGTCTGTCCCTTTCGAGATCCACTCTCGATGCTTCCTCCACTTGGATTCTGAAACAGTACAGAGCAACAGGACTCTGTGTATGGGCAAATTTCTTTCAATTCACATGGCACTGCAGAGATGGTGTGATGCAGTAGACAGGGATACTGATGATATTGGTATTCATTTTGAGATGCTAGTTTGATGTAATGCAATGCAATCAGACTTGTGTATTTCAAAAGGCTGGTAGTTCATGATATGAGAAGGAATGACAATATACAAGAGAAATTGAAAGATCTAAGGATTCTTTATTTCTTCAGTAAAGCAAAAGGCTACTTTTTTTTTCAATTTAGGATAAGCAGTTGTCACTTTCAAGCAGCTTAAAATGAAAATAATGTGATAAACATTTCACATCAACAATATTGAAGCCTAAGTGGCAAGATTAATGAATAATAGAATGAACTTTAGATCATTAAAATAAGATAAGTGATAGCCTGTGGGCTACTGCTATCAATCATAAATCAATCAAGGCAGTCAATTCATTAGGCCTACCTTGGATCTTTCAGTCATCACTGAGGGTTGTGTGTGATCTGAGTCCTTGTCTGAACCTTGCTCTCCCAGTGCTGTAATATTAGCATCCTGTAAAAGAGTGCAAAATTCAAATATTAGGGATGGACCTCTTAGTGCAGATCAATAAAGAAAAGAATCTGTTGTGAAACAAACCTGCAAAGCACCAGTGCTGGATTCCCATTCATAAATTCCAGTTTGGACCACATGCTGATCCACTCTATCTGATGCCCAAAATTCTTCAGAGTCTCCAGGCTTGGATTTACTGATAGAACCACAGTTGTCACTGGAACCTGATTATAAAATATGAATATGCTAGGATAAGCTCATAAGTCCAAATTTAATTAAATGCCTATGAAATTCATACATACTGGTATAACTTTTCATTTAAAAGACCCGAAGGGATAATTATTTTACCGATTGAGCTCTTCTTTGCAGGAGTTGCGCCTTCTGAGATTCCTTCGTCATTAGTCTCCCAAGGTCGTTTACGACCTTGCCTATTCCGTGCTTTAATTGTTATCTCGGCAGACGACGTGGATGAAACAAAGGCGACGCTGGAGCCCGGCGATTCCTCGGGGAAAGCCTCGAGACGAACCAGTCGACTGTAGCGTTTCCTTGGCGGAATACCCATTCCTGGATACGCCTTCCCTGTCTCGCTGCTCAGCATCTCAGCACGCGCACATCTTCGGGATTCGGAGACGGGAACTTTCTTCTTGATAGGCCTCCGTGGGCCAAACTCCAGATAGAGCAACTCAGTTAGAGGACGCCATGTTGGTTTTGACGATCGACGACCCACAAGAATTTTAAGATGGCGCCTGCCTGGACACACCCACGTGTGACGCATACGTCTGCCGGGGCCATAAATCGTGGACTGGATATTGATGCTGTAAAATGATACCCATGGCGAATCCTGTTCGATAATAGATCTCAGTTCCTGTTCAAAGTCCTCACTGCCCGACGTGTGCTGCTCGGCCTCAATAGAACGAGATGGCGTTTGACTGGACGGACGGCATCGTGCTCGGTGTCATTTTGCTGATTTTTCTTGCCATCGGTCTCTATTATCGATTCACGGGAGAGCGACAGAAAACCCTGAATGTAAGTGGGCAATCAGCTCTATCGGAAACTAGGGCTACCCGAAGAAGGAATTTATTGTTTCATCTTGTGATTGGCATACTTTATAGACGAGTAGAAGTCACTCCAACTCACAGGAGTCTACATATTATGCAAACTGAAAGTCAATTTAGAGGGATTATATATTCATTGTATTTTTTATCCTTAATTTCCCTTCAATGAATATGCTTTGCATGTCTTTTTCTAAAACAAGCTTGGAAGGAATTGTGGCATTTAGTGATATTTAGGGTGTACACTAATAATGGAAGCTTTCAAGTTTCCCCTCTGCCCTAATGGTAGGCCTTTGCTTTGTGTTTTTCCCATGCATTTCCTATTTTCATACTGGCATAAATTTACAGCCCTGAAAATTGGGTCTTGCAATAGACCTGTGTGATGTACAGGGCTTATTTAACTGATGACAGCTCAAATAAAAAATGAATCTCCACCTGTGATTTTTTTCAGGAATATTTCCTGGGGAGCAAGAATGCATCATGCATTCCAGTGGCATTTTCTCTCATGGCCAGTTTTATGTCAGCTGTGACCCTCCTTGGAGTATCTTCAGAGAATTATCGCTATGGAACACAATTTGCAATGATCAACCTGGCCTACATCATCGGTACTCCTTATGTGGCATTCTTGTGCCTCCCAGTGTTCTTCAAGGTTCCCTCTGTCAGCGTGTATGAGGCACGGAATCTCTTCCTTCTTGCTGGGAGTTCTGCTTCAGGAATGCTCTTATTTTTAAATGTCTGAATTTGACTTGCTGTTGTTTTCCAATTGCAGTACCTTTCAATGCGCTTCAATGGTGCCGTCTCACTGGTAGCATCAATCTGCTTCTCCCTGCAAATGGTACTCTATCTTAGTGTGGTGCTCTACACTCCTGCTTTGGCATTAGCTGCTGTCACTCAACTTCCCCTAGCCATTTCCATTCTCTGTGTGGGTCTCTGTTGCACAGTATACTCAGCCTGTGGAGGCATGAAAGCCGTCCTGCTCACCGATCTTCTCCAGGTAAATTTGTCTCAATTATCAATGAGATGTATCCATTCATTGTTCCGAATATAAACGTGAATTTTGTACTTCTAATTTGTGCCATCAGTCTTTGCTGATGTATACTGCTGTATTGGGAGTGGTCATAAAAGGAGTGGCAGAAGCAGGTAGTTTCTCTGAGATATGGAGGGTGGCTGATGAAGGGCATCGAATCGAGTTCTTCAAGTTAGTGGTCTCTATTGTTGTATTCTTGTATATCCTATTAGGTGATTTTATTATTTATTCATATTTTCTCTGAATAGTAGGTCTCATTTGGGGTTAATTCCTTCACTTGGAAATATTTTCACCCCATCAGTACTTCTGGAGATCTAAGAGTCAGAAACACAGTTTGGAGTTTGCTGATTGGTGGTTTCTTCATCTATGTCTCCCTGTATGGAGTGAATCAGGCTCAGGTGCAGCGTCTTCTTTCTACAGGGTATGACTCTCGGTTCATCAGTAACACAACTTATTCATCTACAAGGCTCAATATTCTCTCTGTTCTGAAACTGGAAATGGTCTGCAGGTCCCTAAAGCAGGGTCAGATGGCACTTTTCCTCCAGTGGCCAATTCTGACCACCCTCAGCATCACAACCTGTTTTTCTGGGCTTGCCATATACTATCACTACAGAGACTGTGATCCTCTCAGGGATGGTCGGATGGAAAAACCTGACCAGGTTTCTGGAAATTTTCCTCATGTTCAGCCTTTGAAATTAGGTTTGAGTAAACTTTCCATTTGTTTTCTTGTTGCAGCTGTTGCCTCTATTTGTCCAGGAGACCATGTCCTGGGTCCCTGGGCTCCTTGGCCTATTTGTAGCAGGTATCTTTTCTGGTACCCTGAGCACCATCTCCTCTGGAATCAATTCACTTGCTGCTGTCACTGTTCATGACTACATTCAGGTCTGTTTATGTCTATCAGTGTAGTATTCTGTAATTAGTGAAATCTCATTAAATTCATATTTTCAATTGTTCTCTAAACTTTGCTCTATTTCATGGAACTTTGTACTACAATTGCACATTATGTTTTTGTTTATTATCACTCGCATCTGTGCTTGAAAGTTTCTTTTGTCAATATATTACCTATAATCATGTTTTTAAAATTATGTTATAGATGTTTTGACAGAAAGACAAACATAAATTCAAAATTTCGTAGGAGAGCAATTTTGATTTAAACTTGAAGAATGCTTAGCTTTTCATTAGGAAACTAAAGCAAGAATGCATAATCCTCATATAGGCAAGAGGAAAGAACCTTTAGGCTAAAGAGCCCTTTTTCCCACATAGGATTCCATGTATTCTTGAAGGGCTGTTAACTCAAGTGTGGAATTTCTCAGAAGTCCACCCCTTATTGGATTTTTTTTTTCATGAAAGTTATAATTAGTGTTTGTGTAAAAGAAATTTCACTCTTTTTCAAATATTAAATTTATATTCAGGTGTATATTTCTACTTGAATAGCAAATTTATATTTATAATCCTGGAGCTTTGGGTTTTGAGTTCATATTTAACTCAAACTTGAAAAATAGTGTGACATATAATACCTCAAACCCATCTAGGGTTTCACCATGATGGATATATAGGGCTTACCCATTTGAGAGGTTAACTAAAGGAGATTTCACCATTCTGGCCTGCAAGTCTCAACTCTCTTGTGGAATGGCAAGCATTCTTCAATTATCATTAAACAGTTTGGAATAGGAAACTAGAGTACCAATGCAGGCATAGATCTGCCATTCCACTGCCCCCTATACCACTGGAATTACCTTCTTTGCTGCATGTAACCATTGAACTTCGAAAAAATGAAAGCTTTCATTGTTACATCAAAGGCCTATGGAGTGGTCCCAGACAGCAACAAAGACTATGTCCATGATAGTTCACATGTCTGTTGTGTGGTGATGGGAAGAGAGTGTGAAGTGTACCATGCTAGATGCAGCATTTCATTTGTATGCCCTGCAACCCTGTCTATGAGCAGCCCCTCTCTCCTGTTGCCTACTATAGATCTGTCATCCACAAAGGGCTGGAAGGGAAGTGGAAGTTTTAGTCTGGTGTCCTGACCCAGGTAGAAAGACATTCCAATTGCAATGTCTGCCACTTTCCCATAGTGGCTATGGGAATGGCAAATATCTATTTTTCAAAATTGCAGAGTCTCCCCTTTGTCAGAGCATCAACCTTATGAGGGATGGAATTAAGAGTTGTTAGACAAGATGTTATGTTAGTAGCCAGAGCATCTCATTCAGAATGATTTCTAACCTTTTTAATTCAAAAATGATTTCCAGATTTTAATAAAACTAATGCAATTGTAAAATTTACAAACTAAGGGAGGGGGAGGGATTGGTAACTGACTCAAGTCATTCCTCTGTATTTGCAGACAGTATTGGTGTTGAAGGAGGAGAGAGCGTCTCTGGTGTCGACAATTATCACCCTTGGCTATGGAATGGTATGTATTGGCCTGGCCTATTTGATACAATTCATGCCAGGTGGGGTACTGCAGGCTTCTTTCACCATCTTTGGGGTGGTTGGTGGTCCCCTGTTTGGCCTCTTCACACTTGGGATGTGGGTTCCCTTTGCCAACTCCAAGGTGTGTTCCTGCTCATCATTTGGCTTTCATATTTAAGGACACCTTTCTCATATGAGTGACACAAATGGATCTCATTCATAGGGTGCTATGACAGGATTACTGGTTAGTCTGGCCTTGTGTCTTTGGATTGGACTAGGGGGAACTCAAGTCCTTCCTCCAGAGCTCCCTGTCAGCACTGATGGATGTAGTAACTCCACAATGAATTCCTCCTCCATTTCATTCACCAGTGATGAACCTCCTCCCACCTACCCACCTGTCTCCATAGACAAGTATGCTTTTATATACAGGGTAATCTTATCTCCAGAATAGGAACTAAATAGATATTTATGAATTTGGGAGGGATTAAAATTTTTGCAGTTCTTATGATATTGATATGATATTTGGATGGAAATGACAGACAATCAAGTGATATGTAATCACTTGTTCATGAAAGACTGTCTCATCTTTTTGGAACCACAAATCTGAAGTTTATCTCAACCAATTCTTCACGTAAAGGACTTTGCTAAGTTAAGAATTTTGTAATAAAAAAAAAGTACTGACAAGGTACGGTCTAAAAGTAAAGTAAACATGGGCATCAAATTTTTAAAGTTATTATTAAGGAGAATTACATGAAAGTTGTTTAATTCTCAACATAATCTCCCTCCTCCATGTTGCTTTTTAACACTGCACAAGCCAAATTCAAACTGCTTGGAATAACCAATAGTGGAGGTTACCAAGAATGACTTCCCATGCTTCCTGTCAAAATGTATCCATTTTCACTGACTCTGGGAAGGTGGTGGCAACTTTGATGCCTCTCTGGCCTGAGGCCCTCCATTGCTGCACACTGGACTGCCAGAGCAAATGTGGCTGGTGCTATTAAGCCCTTATCAAGCCCTTACCTCTACACACAATGGAGCACAGATTGGCCTATGCTTGAGCCCAAAGGAGAGGTAGTACCTGAAGGCAGCTGGGTGAACTCTTGGCCCAAGAGAATACTGCCTGCCACCAGTCAGATTCGAACCTGGGCCTCCTGCCTGTACCAGAGTCCCTATCCACTGAGCCATGGTGATGTAATTGGTCACCATTCTAGGTGCAATGTCAGCTTTTCTCAATTCAAGGGAAAGAACAATAGATTCAGATTTACCATGGTGAGCTGCATGTCAGTGGATTCTTAATGCCCCAAAGACTGGTTTGCCCAGAATTCTTCATAAGTGGACTGTGCAGTGACAAAGATACATTGCCAAAGAAGGAATTTATGCTGAGAACAGTGCAAATTTCATGTCATTCTACACATGTTATGAATCACATGTTACATGAATCTGACAGTTATTAAAGCAGAGCCAAATATTTGGCTCTGCTTTAATAACTGTGCCTAATAACCTTTTTTATTTTTAACATATAGTCTTGTCCAAAAAACTGACTTGGAAGTCTTCTTAGGAATTGCCAGTGGCTAAGCCTGCTAAAATGTTGAATTGTGCTTTTGTGTTTGTTCAAAGAGTTCTACTTGAGTTGCTGAAGTGGTAAGAAGCCATGGGATCATCATATTGCATGTCATCTACTGATTTTGCCATTCCTTCTTTCCTTTAAAAGTTTGCATTCCTTTCTCAAGCTGATAATGCCTGCCTACCACTTACTCCTATTTTCCAAATTCAAATTCTGCAGAAGTTGGTGAATTAACCCTTTAATGCATGATGAGGTGGATATGCTACATACCAAATAAACATTTTTAGAATGTGCAGGTAGCAAGCTCCTGAGATAAACCTGTTAGTAGTAGATGTGCAACAGTCCAGTCCTTATACCTAGCAACTATGCTGTCATTAGGTACCTCCTGGTGGTAAGCAAATTAAAAGCAATCTGGCTTCGTCGTATGACTGATTGACATTTTTTATTTAATTTTCTTAAACTTCAATCCATGGTCCAGGTTTATCTGTATTTTTACATTTTCTTTTGTGTTGAGGTATGTATGAATGTTGATGAACTGACCGGGCTCTCTAGCATCCATGCAGTGTGGGTTAGAAAGCTGAAAATACATTTTGTAGCAAATGAGCAACAATAACATTTTTGGGCCTACTGCTTATAAATTTGATTTTTTTTTCACGAAAAAGAAAAAATCATGCATTAAAGGGTTAAGATTGCAATGTCTGTCATGTGCCACTTCATCCTGGGGCTTTACTGAATTTGATACCTCTCATGTAAGATTGCATCTGACTTGTTTAAACTGGCATAGGAATCTTTTGGAATTCTTCCAAGCAATCTTCTTCCTGATGTATGATTCCCGCTTCTCACTGCCCTTTCAGAACAACTCACTGATGTTTCCTCGTTCTGTCATTCTTTACTTGGTCTCATACTCTTGCAACCTGCCCTGTGCATTGCCTTACAGTTTTGGTGATGTGCTCAACTACATATACAGCATGTCAAACATGTGGTATGCCTGCCTGGGGACATGCCTTTCATTCTTTATCGGGTGCATTGTGAGCATTTGCACCCTCTATTGGGAGCATCCTTCCGTCGACCCCAAACTCTTCTCCCCTCCTGTTGCTGTAAGTCCTCCCAGTCGTGCGTGTTGTGCGAGGTAGAGCAGGGCCGTTGATTCTGCCTGTGTTGCAGTGGCTCTACAAGCGGTTCCATGGAACGGGATCCATTGGCGTGCCGGTGGACGAGGACGAGCCAAATAATGGTCCAGATAGCGCCATTCTTCTGCTCAAGCATGGGCCAATGTCTGACCATGCATGAACTGGGAGATGGTTCTAGTTTTAGTTTCCTTCCAAAAACGAACCCTGCCTCAAAAAGAAATCTCAGGGTCTCTGAAAGGACCAAAGCCTTCTGTTGTATCAAGAATGTCATGTGCCCAAAGGAGGTGCCAGGGCTCATTTCTTCTCCATTTGTTCATCATATCTAGCAAAGGAATCTCTGGGGAACTCTCTTTTGCCTAGCATAATAGCACTGTAGTAGAAAAGAAATCCTATATATGATGAGAAAACATAGGATATTCTCACATTTAGGCCTGTATTCTATGGAATTTTAGTCAGACAGCTGAGGTAATAAGCATGAGGTTGATTAACTCATCTTCATTAAATTGACCTAATTTTAAATTTAATCTTATTTTTATTACAACCCCATGCAGAAAAACCTCCCTGTGGAAATCTTTTTTTTTTCTTATTGTTTCCTAGTGAAAATTCCATGGAATACCAAAAAAATGATCATTTACTTTCATCTTCTGTGGATCACAGTATAGTTCAAGTTCATTTGTGTCTGTTTTGTTAGATTTAGAGATGCACTTGGTTAATACCATGATCAGTTATTGCATTTGCAGAAGATCAAAGATTCCATTTCTTGTGTGAACCTTATTGAGATGGAGTGATTCCCCAAGACACAGGGTTCTTTCAGGGTTTCATCAAAATATGTTCTTGTAGGATTTTTTTAAAATATATTCTGCCATAATGCAGTATTGCATCCAGTTTCACCTTTAAAACACAAACTCAGGTAGAATCTTCAATTTTGCACAAAGGTCAACAGAGTTCTTTTGTGTCGCAGTCATTGTAGTCCAGTTCTGCAGTTCTTAACCATCTGATCGGTTTTGTGAAATTTGCAGTGTCCTTGGAAATATACAATGACTGCACCAACGGATGATATTCGAAACCAGATCTTACTCCGACTTCAAACCGAAAATATTTAAAGTTCAAATTAGTCGATTTCTTTGGGACACCCTCTGGACATAGGCAGCATTTTCTCGGTTTCTGCTATGTCATGTACAGCGTGTTGAAAGTGCATAGGATTATCTGTTGTTCACTGATTGAGCCCCACTAAGCTATCATTCAGTGCATTTCCTTAGACATATTGATTTATCTAGTCCCGTGAGACCATTGAATGGAACGACATGTGATAGGTAGTCTTTGGTCATATGATCCGATGGAAATGCGTCTCTCGTGCCCTGTCCGTACTATCGTGCTATCGAATTATCTGTTTCGGAATTTATCATTGGGTGCATCCGCACTGTTCATATCAATGATGATGGTTGTAAAGTTTATGACTGTTAAAGTCAGAGATAACATGATTTATTGCTCAGTTCGAACAGACTCGACGTGTTCACTGATTTCGAATTGCAGGAAATGTTTATTTAAGTGATCATTTGCATTTGTTCAGATTTAAAATTGATATTATTAATTTTGCTTTTGGGATTTCAATTAAATCGGATCGACAGCCTAGTGGCATTTCAAACGTGGATTTAAATTCGAAACTGCACGAAACAGATGCCAAATGAGCGAATCGGATCCCAATTCGAGCACCGATCGCGCGGATAAGGGGACGGAGATAGTCTCGCGAGAGTAGTCGTTGTTGGCTGCGATGTCGGTCGAAGCTTCCAAATAAACGATTCCAGCCGTCTCCGTCTTTTCCATCGAAATTCTTCCAGAAAAGTCTGGAACAGGTCCCTCGTTGATATATGGGTCTCTCCCGCCCCCACTCGAGTGCCCCCTCGATAACGCGCCGAACCGACCAGTGCAGTCCCAGTGCGAGTCCCGACCTCGCGACTGACGGATCAAAGCTATCAGCAATGGGCGCAGACGGCTGCTCGAGGTCCCTCATGAGCCGACAGCCCTTCAGGGCCTGCTTCCGGCGGGACCTGGCCAGCGGGAAGGTCGGGGTCTTCCAGGTCCTCCTCGCCGTCACTTGCTTCGTACTCGTCCTCGTCACGGGTTCGTCTTCATGGTGCCTCTTTCGCGCTTTACCGAATTAATTGCGATAAAACAAGCATGAAGAAAACGGTAATTGACCGGTCGGTTATTTTTTTTTCAATCTTAAGTGAAATGTTTATTTTTAACATTCAAAAGCTGGTTTTATGTCAAATGTTGGAGAAAATAAATGAATAAATACTGTTATATAATATTCTTTTATTTCTTTTGTGCACTAACAACTTATCGTCATATTTCTAAAATTTCATTATCGAAAAAGAAGTGTTTTGTTTTTTGTTTTCCCCCGAACCCGCACGCACAGGTCTGCTGCTGGGCCACTACGCGTGGAAGTCGAAATCCCCGTCGGGGCCGCCCCTCATCGACTCCCAGGCCCTCATCGACGAGATCAACGCCACCAACATCGCCGCGTACCTCAGGTCCGCCACTTCCCTCGCTTTCGAAAACCCTCATTACGTAACCGATAAGGAACCACCGATGGGAAAAACCCAGGAACCTGACCCTCACGCCCCACCTCGCCGGGAGGGAGCAGGAGCTGGCGAACGCCGAGTGGATCCGCGACAGCTGGGCGACGTGGGGGCTGGACTCCGTCCGCGTCGTCCCCTACCGCGTGCTTCTCTCCTACCCCGACCCCGAGCGACTCAACAAGGCAATCCATTTTTTTTAAATATTTTTTTAGATGTAATTTTTAATGTATAAATATAAATTGCTTTTTATTTAAACGATGGTGGAACCCGAACTTGGTCGACGTGGAATTTCTCGGAGTACCCGCTCACCGCGTCGATGCGCTCGCGTCATCGCTCGAGTGCCCTGATAAAAACTGCAGCTTGAGATACTCTTCGGACCTTGAACCCGAAGCTCGAACGAGTTTGAATCTCTCTTGCCGAGATCACTCGCCAAGTGCCCGAAGAATTTTGTTTCTGCTTTTCCCTAAAGCTGCGACAATGTGAAGTTGCCTCGAGTAACTTTTAAATTCCGTTTCCATTGTTTTATTATTTTCCTTTCATCGTTTTGCATGATTGCAAAAGAGCGGAACTTGAGCCGATTTTGAAAAGAAAAATTTTTTGACCGGACTCGCTTCTCCCTCGCCATTTGCGAGCGGGTGGTGGGGCGAGAACGTTGCCCCACCGTGTGGAGTAGGGGTGGGACGACGCCCCACCTGTAATTACGAGAGTCGCGTGATATTTATTTGTCCGTGGAGTATTTCCCTCTCCCCTCCATTAGGGCGACACGCCACTCACGGGTGACACGCCACTCGCAGGTGACACGTCAATCTCGAGTGGGTTCCAAATCTATTTCGCAGTGGAACCTGCGTTCTGTGATCGCAAAATGTCCTGCGATGTGCAGCCAAGATAAAAGGAAAAGCTTGGTTCGTATTAAAGTTTAAAATATTATATTAAAATGCAGAACAAACATTCCTCATCCGTAAATAAATTCTCTCCGTCTTTCGTCTAATGTTCCCAATCCGAAACTCCGTGGTCATTTCGCGACGTCCCAGTCTTATTTTTATATTGCACGGAAAGCGTCCCACTTAATTATGAGATGGAGATGATGCCATCGCAGACGCAAACGAATTTTCCCCCGCGGTTTCTTCCGGGCATCATGCGGACGAAGCCACGGTGACGCGCTTTTTGCATCCCCCATTTATAGTCGCGCTTCGCGACCGCGACCGGCGCTTTCGTCGCGGCCTGGTCGTGGGCGTTCCGTCGCGGAGAAAACGTCGCAAGCCCAATTTCGTCGCAGACGCAGATCGTCGCACGTGCACGGCGCGGTACCAGCTTGCAGGAAAAGGTGAAAAGCAAGGGAAGAAAATTCGCGTGAAGGAAGGGGAATGTGTTTCTGTCGTTTGTTTGAGCTGCGCCGTTCGTGTGCAACCTTGAGTTTTCATGTGCAGGACACTGGAACGGATCAAAAGTATCCGTAGCAGCGATTTCCAAGCCTTTTCTAACTTATGGACCCCTTTTGAATGGAAAGGGACCTGCGCGAACCCCTTTCACTATCACGTTAATTTGTACGCTCATATTAGTTCCAGGGATTATTGAGAAACGCATTTTAAAAGTTGATTGGAGGGACGCTCCTTTCCGAATTGTAATTGTTTAGTTTTTCCTGTTTTTTTTTCTATATTTTTGGTGTTTTTGTGGACCGCATGAAGTCTCGGGTCTGCGAATCCCCCGTCGAGGAACGCTGATCTGCAGGATTGGGAAACTACACTAGGAATGATATCTCTTCACCGTACAGACATAAAGCGACTCGGTGATAGCATTGCAGTGTGGCTATCGAGCTGTAAAGGTTATAGGGTATGGCATGCGCAAAAGAGCGACTCACAGTCTTCACTTAAGACAGTTTTCCAAATTCGCAAGCTGCGGTAGACGACAGTTGCATTTTAGAACCCACATCTGGAAGAGTTCTGAAA